CTAATGTAATCTCTGAGTGCAGATACACTGATAATTTGTTACTTTGCAAGAGTAGCGATGCAATCATGTCTACTTTAAAAGGAATCTGGCAAGCAACAGGGTATAAGTGATTAGAATGAATTCAAGCTCTTATTTTAATCTCCAATTAACAGGGCAGTTCTATCTTTGTATTCCTCAAAAAACAAAACAAAACAAACAAAAAAACCCAAAACCAACCCACCATGAAAAGCACAGAACAAAGAAAGATTCAGTAGAAACACAGATAATTCAACTAAGGAGGGGACCAGCTTGCCAGGGGCTGTTATAGCTTCAATCGGACACAACTGTTTATTCTAATTCATTAAAACAGGTAGACTGTCTGGGACTTTGGTGGGAAGGTCTCTGTAAAAATCATTTTCCTAATATTTTACTTTGACTACTAAGCTGAAACAAAGGAATAGTATTTCATATTCAAATAGTACCACATGCAGAGGCAGGTGTTTGGTAATTTTTAGTTATTTATTTGCTTGATGCTTTTTCCAGCAATTTCAACTGCAGTGACGGTAATATCCATCTGTTTGAAATGGAAATTGGTTAGCAACTAGATCCTTTTTTTGAGTCTTGCAATATATCATCTACCTGCTTTGAATGAAATATTCTAGCTAAATCTCTGATGAAATACATTTTAGATGTGTTAAACGTGATGGAGTGTCACTCTGCATTCATTCCAATCCTCTTGAAGTATGCATTCTTCTCTGAGACTGAAAGCTTTAACTACATTTCTCAGAGGCCCTTGCTGCTAAGATTCCAGGCACAGATTAGGTTTGGCCAGTGAGATAAGCTGGATGAGAAGTGAGGTGGAGGATACACACAAGGAAGACATTTGCTAGCTTTTATTTATTTGTTTATTTTGGTAGCCATGTTTAGTCACTAGCTTCCCGGCTAAAATGGCACTTTGTAGTAGCTTCTTGATCCAGACTGAGCTGGAGGGATGACTCCAACACAGCAGGGCTCACCTGGTGCCCCAGGGTCACCGCCATCATTGCCACAGTCTGGAGAGTTTCTGTTATCTGCAACCTCACTGACAGAAGAAAGAGAAGGGAGAGATGAGCATATTCAGTGCACCAAGACAGCAGGTAATGCCTGGGGAGACCCGCAAAAGGGGAAAAGATTGTGCTTACTGGAAATATGCATCTCTGTGTTAAAGCAAAGTCACAAAAGGTTACCCAGAAAGTCACAGGCTGTACCATCCAGAACTACCCAAAGCAGGGTCAACACTCCTTCGGGCCTAAGTTGAGGCCCAAAATAAATGGTACCAGGTGAGAAAATAACCATGGGACTCATAGGAGGAGAGAGAGAAAACATTAAAAAAAAAATGACAAATATGGGATAGAGAAAAGAAAAAGAAGGGGAGAAAGACTGGAACAGAGAATAAAGAAGAGAATGAAACAACGCATGGCGTGAAGAGGATCTTACACCATATGCAAACTACTCCATGGCCTTGCCTGGGTGGTGCCAGAGTGCAACCCACCAAGGTGAAGGCTGCCTCCTGCCATTGCCCTGCAGGGCCTGGGAGAGTCGAGGGTTCTCAATGATAGATTCTAAAAGTTTTCATATCAGAAATACAGGTGAATCCATCCTCTTTACTGTTCTTTCTATAAACATACAGTCAAACTGTATAAACATTCACATTTGTGTATATCCTATTATCCTACATGTAGTCCAGCTAGATATATAGATGGATGATTGACAGATAGATTGACTGATTGATGGATAGGAAGGCCCCGGAAATATAAAAAATATGTCTGTATACAAAAATCTGTTAGCTGAAAAATGGTTTTAAAGTCAGACAGTAATGCAAAATGCTAACAAACTAGTCAATGATAGTAAATACTGGTTTAATTTCTAAAAACTGAGAGATTATAAATATCACCTTTGTAATTCAACACAGTAGTTTGAAAAAAAGCTTAAGGTAAGATGTTTGCACCAAACAATTGAGCTCTACTGAGACTGTAATTCCTAACATAAATGTAAGTATGTCTCCCAGCCTGGGCTATTGTCCCATAATTTCTGTTCTAGCCTCTCACATGAAACACAACTCTCACCTACTTTAGGCAGCCTCTCCCTTCTTCAAAAGTACCTGTTCTCTCCACTGTCTTCCCTCCCTGGGGGCAGCACAGACTCTCTATCGGAGTTGTTCTTCCTTCCCCAAGAACCTTTACTCCCCCAATACCACTTCTTTAAATAAGCATTTCTGGCCTCCCTCACTCCATTTCACTTTTGATATGTTTCCACATAGCACTAGCACAATTGTAATTATAGATTTACCTATTTTCTACCAACAGGTCTTCATTGCATGAGGGTTAGGTCTGTTTTTCTTGCTATTGTATCCTGAAAGCTTAGCCTGGTGCCTTAGGTGTCTCAGGAATGCTGAAGGGTTGAAACACTAATGAATGTTATTGTTGTTTCATCCCCAAAGTCCAAATAATCTATTTCTTGAATGTAACTGTCCATGAAAAAACGAGGAATTATTCTCCATTTAAGGGTCATGCTTCTAGTGGCATTAACAGAAATCAGCTAATTAAATGTTTAAACTCTACTTTAGAATTTCAGTTGGTCATCTTCCTCCTTCCTCTACTAGCTCATTATGTCCCAACGCCATCACAGGTAACTTCTTTAATCTAATAATCTAAAGGCCCAAAGTAGGAGATGAGGTTTAGAATGTGTGAGCCTCTAACTCCCAAAGGACATGGACTTCTAAGAGCCTATATATGCTATCTCATATACTGTAAATGTACTAAGTATACCAGAATGGAGAGATAGTCCTTTTATCCAAACATTCAATTAAATGTTAATTATGCAGCTACCTGTCTGCAGCCCTCAGGAGATATTTAAGTCAACATATTTCTACATCATTTCAACGTGTTTCTGCTCACAATGTGCCAATGGATTACTGAGTGTTTTACACCAATTATTCCATTTGCTTCTCATACCACCTTAGGAAGTTATCATTACTGCCTTTTCACAGACAGGAAGTGACTTAGAGCTGGGATTCACTCCAGGGATCTACTTCAACCTCTAAATTCCTTTTCGACAGGTTAGAAGTTTCTCTGGATGGAAAATAGGTAACCAAGGTGAACACGGATGCTAATTCCTTTTGAACACCCCTTACCTAAAGGTTCTTTGTAAGGTACCTACCTAAGATCTCAAGAAGAGAATCACAAAAGCTGAAGGACATTCAACTGTCCATTTAGCATCATTATACTGGCAGCCCTACCAGAATCAATCTATGCCAGCATCAGGCTCCATATTCAGTTCCTTCTGTCTGTCCTTAAATAAATCCCCAGTATCTTAATACTTTCATTCCACTCCTCTCAAAACACTTCCTAATTTATCTCTAAGATTGCACAGTCAAGAGCTGACAGCCTTGTCGCAACAAAGCATTACACCAAGAACTAAATTACAGAGAGAGCTTGATTCAATTCCTATGTAAAATTACAAATTGCAATATCAACCTGCAGCAAACACAAAGATTTAGTTGGTTTCTTTCTCAGCATTGAAATCCTTTGTATTACCCAGTTTGTCTGGCCCTTTGTATCCTCTTCAAAGCTGTAGTGGAGAGAATATGTTTCAAATCATGAAAACAAGTTCCCTAAAGGTGCATATGCATTCTTTACAATTGAAACTCACTTAAGTATTCACATACCCACCTACTGGAAATATTATAAGCATTCATACCTGATTAAGGTCCTCTTAAACCCCATTAAGATTTGACTTTAGAAGATACACATAAACAGAAGATTTGAGATTTATTAGGAAAGTCTACTTTCATTTTAAGGCAGAGTTAACCATGCAGACATGGCATTTTCAACCTCACATCCCTCTGGTAAGTAAAATTTTATTAAAACCTTTGAACTACCTTTGTGCTTTAGATATATTAAGACACACACAAAGGACAAATTCTTTCCAAAGAACATCATTATGAGTAATTGAATCTTTCTAGAAATAGGATTTCTTTTGAATTAAGAGAAAAGTCTATAGGGAGCTCCTGTCTCAAATCTGACCAAATGCATTAATGAAGCAGCAGTTCTCTGGAGCAGTTTCCTCAGCGATACTTTTCAGCTTGGCATGGTCTCCTCTAAAAGAAGTTCCATGCTATCAGTGGCCATCAGTCATTTTCATTCTTCTCAAATAATCCTCTATCTGGGCGTCTCTAGCACATGTCTCACCAACACTGGAGAGTCCCCCACACTAAAATTTCTGCCAGGCATCAAGGACAGAAAAATGGACAATTCTCCTGGCCCAAGACTTCAAAACAAATTAACCTCTATTAGCCAACAAGAATGCTAATGATCACATGAATAGTAGCACTTTCAAAGTCAAGGAAAAGGGGCTTCAATGCCAACCCTTACCTGTAATACTGTCAATAATCTTAACCTCAAAACAATATAGCTCTTTGCTCATAGGAAAAGCTCGTATACATTTCAATACATGAATACCTTTGTGCTTAGATGTTTACAGGCTTATCTTTCTACATAAAGCACTGTATGCTTATCACATCTATCACAAAGAACCTGGTAATACAAAAAGAGATAGCTATAGTAAATAATAAACCACCTAATCCAACCTTCCTATGTTGGCATTCATTCTTAAACTTTAAATTTATCGCCATATTTGATTATTTCATTAAATTCTTCAAAATCAACTAAAAAATATAGTCTGACAAACTTTCTGGCTTCAAGTTACCTTAGCTCACCGCTCTGCTAGTTAAAAATCAATCCCCAAGTGATGTCTAAAAGGAAAGATAACACGTGTGATCCAATGCAAATTTATTTCCCCTTTAAGACGCAAAACATGTTCCCTACAGCTCTGAGTTTTGATTTATCCGGTGCTCACATCTGAAGCACAACCCGCAATCCCTTACTGCAAGGCAGACTCGCTTGTTTTGATCACGTCTAAGTTTTCAAGGTAAACAGGTCACCCGCGGCTACCGAAATGACAGAGGAAGAACACGCACTCACCCCAGGCGGTCAGACCCCAGGCACGGGCTTCGGAGCGCTCGCAAGGCGACGGGTCGCCCCCCCGCACCCCAAATCCTCCAAGGAAGGGCGGGCGCCGAGCCAGCAGGACTAGGCTGGGCAGGAGGCTTCTTGCTGCTCTGCTCTGCAGACCATTGTCAGCGCCACGGTCGCCGGCGCTTTCTGCGCGGTATGGGGGCGGGAAGCTCCAACGAACCGAATAGTTGCAAGCTTAACCCAAGCCAGGGAGAACTAGCTGCTTTTGCATCCGAGCCAAGGACTGTACCAGGTGTAACTTCCACCCCGTGACCTATTTTAGAGTGTGAGAATGAAAGCAATAGAAAAAAAAAAAAATAGACGGAGGGCTTGTGGGCGCGCTTACCCGAGAAAAAGCGCGCGCGCGCCCCCGAGCGAATGTCGGGGCTTCGGGAGAGAAGTTGCTGCGAGGCCCCCCGAGGCGTCCCCGGCCGCGGCTCGGCCCGCAGAGCTTGGGGGTGGCCCCTCCGTAAGCCCCGCCTCCCTTCGCAGCCCGAGTGCCGGCGGCGTCCGCCCTTCTCCCGGTGCACCCCGAACAGGAAGCGTCGCTCCCGGGGATCGGGGGCCTTCGGGCGGCCGCCGCGACAGCAACTGGGCTGTCGCTTCCCCGCCCCCATCGCGATCCCCGCCTCCCCGATCCGTCCTCACCTCCCCGGAGGCGGGACTCGGTCTCCGACGGAGGCCCGCGGCGCCCCAGGGCCAAGAGAACTGACAGTCTCCGAGGGTCGGCGGGCGCCGGTGTGGCCACCCCTGACCAGTCCCCTAAGAACGTCCCGATCCAACGGGCGGGGAAGTGAAGCTCTGCGGCTGGCTCCCTCCCAGTCTGGGCGGTGGGGTGACCTTCCTGGCTCCCGCTGGCGCTCCTGACTGTACCACCCTGCGCGCGCGGCGGGTCCTACGCGCGGAGGACGCCCAGGCCGTGCACCTGCCCGGCCCGCAGCACAGCGGCGCAGCACCTGGGGTGACACCAACAGGACGCTTTAGCGCGTCTTCTCTCATTTGACCCTTGAAGCCAACCGCTTCAAAGGCAATGTCCCGGTTGAGTACGGTGGGGTAACCCAAAATCAAAGGGTGGCACAGAGGTGCCACTGTTCAGACTCTTCCAATTTTTAGTGACACGGGTGCGTAATCTATTAAGAGTTTTATAAAATTAGTCCCATCAAAGTACCATCTATCAGAAAGAGAGATCAACTTAGGCTCCAAGCTTCTGTCAAAAACTGGAATCAGATATCACCTTTCCCCCCTGCTTTTGTAACATTGAGATGACTTTCTGTAACAATGGAGTTAACTGCTTTCTGCCTGGTCCTTACAACTTCTGTTATTAGACAACTCAGTAAACATCAGAGGCCTATGCACTTTTAAAATGTACGTGCCCGATTTAGAAAAATTATCGGATCTAGTAACTTCTTCCCGGTTTAAATGCTGCAGAAAAAAATGTATGAGGTTAAGGCGCCTGACTCCATGCTTTGTTTGACTTCTTGTTGAGTTGTTTTTCCAGGACTGCTTTATCTGGGAACTTGACTAGGCTTCTATAAACTATGCTGTGTGTGTGTCTGTCTGTGTGTGTAGCTACTAAGAGGGAAGGTGGATTTTAACTCTAGAGTTTGTGAATCTAAATCATTTTCTAGCCCCACAGAAAGTTTGTCTGGAGGAGGGAACCTTAGGCATTTTCATCACCATGCCCAGGGTAATCAAATTGTCATTTCCTTTTCCTGTCAACATCTTTTTCTCATTTAAAAGAAGCCTAGTTTTATGATCTTCTTGAGCTGAATGCCAGTGCACAAAAATGCCACTACTCATTTTTGTTTCCACGCAACAGAACCAGGACTACAGTGTGACCTTAGATAGAGGATACATTCTGGATACTGTGATATGCCTTGCTCCTTTCTAACAGTGCAACAGGAGACAAAATACACCTATTTAAGTATATTATAGTGTCTGGCACATAGTAGGTGCTTAATAAATACTTGCCAGGAAATGAGGGCTCAACAAAATTTGTTAAATGTGAAAGTGACCGGGTTTAAATTTTACAGAAAAACATGAGGAAAATCAACTATATAGGTGAGGTAGTCGGAGCAGGTATCCTGCACATGGGGACAGATGCATAATTTTGATATGGAGACTGACTGAGAAATGGAAGTAAGAAAGTAAATTTGCTGTGCTTTCAAGATATGGACATGAAACCATCAATTTTATGCCAAAACGTGTCACCTTAATGAGAATAAAGAGCTTCTGTATGTATGTATGTAGTGCCAGTATATTTCAAAATTCCCAAATTTTAGCAAGTAGAATAGACACATTAGCAGACAAAATATCACAAATTACTGTGGCTAAGATAACCCTTAAAAATATCTGATGCAGGGCCTCCCCGGTGGCGCAGCGGTTGAGCGCTAGGTTGCGAAGCTGCCCACAGCCTCTGCAGCGCCGGTTCGAGCCCCGGCCACCGGGCGAGGGTCCCACATGGTGCGCAGACCTCTCCTGCCGCCCGTTGCAATGTACTTCGGTCCTTCTGCCTGTTCTGCTCCCTGCTCTCACCCTCCCGCACTTCTGACTGTACCCAGTGCTTGTATAAATAAATAAAATAAATCTTAAAAATAAAAAATCTGATGCAGCATTCTCCTTGCATGTTTCTACATAGACTGTATGCTTCTACATGTATATGTACGTCTATATAGATTTTTTAAGGGAAAAGCATGTGATCTAGCCCACCATTCTATGGTTCTTAACCTTTCGCAGTTAATAAGCCCCTGTGAGAATTTAATGGAAGCTTTGGAACTTTTCTATATAATAAACAAATATAACAATATTTGCATATATTTTCTCTGATTTCACAGACCAGCTGAAACAGATATGTGGAACCCATTATACGCCTGTGGGCTTGAATGATTATTTCCTTGTTTGGGAACTGGGAGAAAAATAGATTATTCTATTTGAGGCCATCATAAGAGGCATCTCCATGGCCACCAGCAGAATTTTGGTAATGACTTAAGAAATGGGAAGAAAAGTGTGTGTAAGAAAAGGACACTAGAGAAATATAGCCATCCCTCTGAATCTGGACCTCTTAACATTTATCCAATTTTTGTATATGAGCATTTTACTTTCATCTCTCAGCAAAAGAGGGGACAGCATAATCTGTAACTGTCAAATACGTTGCTGTTGTGTGAGTACATGGGATTTATTGTATTATTGTCTCCTTTCTTGTGATGTATGAACTTTTTCATGAAAAAATATTAATGAATCTTTCCTCTCTGATAGCCATAACCAATCTTAGTACCTTTCTTAACTTGGCTTGTTAAAATGGAAATTTTGTGTATTAAAAAAAAAAGAAACAAATACAAGCATACCAGTGATGCCACACATAAGATTGCTATCTATAGGTAGAATCCATATAGAAATAATAGGTGTTCTCTTATTGTGAATTATGAAGTGGGTTGGCTATGGTCTCAGCAGAAATTAGACCACTGTGAAACACTGAACCATTGAAAAGTGTTTCCACTTCTGTCTAAATTTATACTTCATTTTACATTGCTTAGTTAACTAAGTTCACTTATTGTTTTTATACATAGTATATTTCTTTTTTTTAAAGTTTTATTTATTTATGCATACAAGAACTGGGGTGTAAACCAGAGGTGTTGGGGTGTGTGTGTGTGTGTGTGTGTGTGTGTGTGTGTGTGTTTGTGAGAGGATTCACCAGAGAGAGTGGGGAGTAGAACAGGCAGATGTACTGAAATACACTGCTGAGAGGAGCAGCCGGCAAGGCAGGTGAGGTCTATTGCGCCATGTGGGTTGCTCCCTGGCCAGCCAGGGATCCGACTCATGCTGCGATAGCTTGATAGCACTGTCTTTAACCCCTGCACCACCAGGGAGGCCCATATATAGTATATTTCTATATTAACACAGTTCTTTCAATCTGGCATGCACCTCTTGAGAAGCAGATGGCAGGCTATAGTTTCCTGAGTACATCACCCACCATCTTCTGAGAAAGATGGTCACAGTGCTTCCTTATACCCTGGGCACCATACTTCCGTAGATCCATAGACACAACCATAGATCCATGTCCATTAGTTGGAGCTGTCTGGGTTTGTCCTGTGGCCCATTAGGCAGCAGTTGGAAACCACTGCCAGGTCGCTATGTGCCACATTGGATAGAGATGGTCGGACCCAATGAGGTCGTCTCACTAGTGTTTTACAGGTAGCATCTGAATTTGACCATAGGCAGTGAATATGTCCTTTTTTAAAAAATTTATTTATTTATGCATAAAAGAACTGGGGTTCAGGCCAGAGGTGTGGGGGCTGAGAGGATTCACCAGAGACAGAGTAGGGAACAGAACAGGCAGACTGAAATACACTGCTGAAGGAGCAGTGGGCAAGTCAGGAGCAGTCTGCTGCGCCATGTGGATAGCTCCCTGGCTGGGGATCGAACTCTTGCTGCACTGGCTTCGGAGAGCTTCATAGGTTGCACCTTAACCCCTTGTACCACCAGGGAGGCCCAGTGAGTATGTTCTTAACCATTCTGCACTGCCTCAGGAGCAGCAGACAGAATTAAAGCAAGCCACATGCATGAGCAACTCACACTGTAAAAGCTGTGATTACTCTGGCTACTGAGGAGCTCAGCCTACTAGTCTCTTAGGTGCTGTTGTGTTTTCCTCCTTGGTCCTCTAGGACCTTCTGAATGGTTTGTGGCTGTGGAGACCATTGCTTGTTCTTCCTCACTTCCTCATAATAAAGTAATGTCACCATAGATCATCTGTTTATCTTCTTTATAACCGGAATGAACACAAGTGTATAGTAGCATACTGATGGCCTACAACACATCCCTGACAGGATGTGGGGCTGTGACCACTCTCTCATTGGCTCACTTCTTTTAGAGGTCTTGATTCCTCCTATTAAAAACAGAAGAGATGTGTTCTTAGAGATGTTATCTGAAAATAAATTTCTACAAATCAAGTCACATTTTTCCAGTTGAATATTTTAGTAAACTGTTTTTCCACAAAAATAACATTTTCCTCTGAATCATTATGAAAATTGTGTCTAGAATTTCATAGCTATTGTTTTTAACCACTCATCTAGTGGAAATATGGGAAATCTAATCAATAAACACTAAATCCAAATTTTTTCATGTCCCTTCTCCTTAAGGTCCTTTAACGGCTCTGTGATGCTTATTAAGTGCCACAAGTCCCATACATTAGGATACAGCGTCCCCCAAGCCTGGCCCTAATCTACCTCTCTGGAGCCAAGGAAAAATCATGAGATTTTTTCCAGTCTTAAGCTGTTTGCTTTTGTTTCCATTACCACAAATCCAAGGATCATCTAGCTCCAAATGCATCCCCTTTTCTTTGTC